TAATAGGACTCCAGGGTACTAGGAATCACCTGGGATTAGTTATTCCGCAAAGGGAAAGGGCTAACAATACTTATTAAGCTTTCACAAAATTAGTTGAAGATTGATAGGTATTGCTGATGGAATATTCAGCAAGGCTATGAATACTGTGGACAAGTAGAGTTGGTGACTGTAGCTTAAGAACAATAAATATAGGCTGGATTTAAGTTGAGTTACGTGTAATGAATCGAAATAAATGTTAACTGTGTTTAACTGGTGTCTGAATATTCTGGGGATTAATCAGTGAAGGGGGCACGGATTATAAGTTCCAGAATATTGAAAGAGGGAAAAATGAGCGCTCAGAATTCAGGGAGCTTTGGCCAGGAGAATGAGCACATCAATTGAGTGACTGATCATTATTTGTCATGATCAGTAAGTGAAATCATAATTGTGTACTAGTTGATCAATACACTAGTTGCTCTTGATGTGTGCACTTTAAATGATCCTTGAATAATGAAGTCATAATTGTGATCAGTACATGTATTGAATGTATTAATTCTATTAACCCTTAATAATTAATATTCAATACTTGTACATATTTATTTGTAATGATATTTGACCGTTAAAATACTGTAGAACAAGGACAGCTTGTGGCTATTGGTCCACCGTTCTCCCCCCTCTTTGGGTCCCACTTCAACCAGCAGTGGGCTGCTACGCTACGCTATGCTTTTGGCCCAAAAAGTGTAGCATAGCGGCGCTTTTTTTATCAAAAAAATGTAGTGCTAGCACTTTTGTAGCGGACTTTTGCTACGCCACGCTGCGCTACAGTGCTTTTAGCAGTAAAAACAGCCAAAAACCGCTAAAAAGTGCTGCAGCGCAGCGCAGTGGGCCCTTTTTTGCGGCCCACACGCGCAGCAGAATTCCGCTATGCTACGCTTAGCGCTAACAGGAATTCCGCTGTGTTACGCTACACTAACCACTACGGTTAGTGTAGGGGCCCACCATTGTGTCTACTCTCTCTCCCCTGCTAAAGGCCTCAATTTTTTGTCTTACTCTCTTTTCCTCAC